AATTAAGTATTAATGAAAGCTCTTCAGCCACTGAAATAGTAATTCTTACTTAAAAGAATATGAAATTATGACAGAAAACAACTCTGTTTTTAATTCTTTGTAAGAATATTGTGTAAAACCCAGAGAAAAACACCTTACTTTTTCAAGAGAAGTAAAAAACTATTTCTAAGATCTTTTTTTTTTGCATTAACTGCTGCAGAAGAATGAGATAGAAACTGCTAAGATATGCACTACTGTATACCCCCTACCAAGACTTTCCCTCTTCAGGGTCTTGATATTATAGAGAATATAAGTCTGTTTCTATATGATAATATAAATATTGCCAGCGGGATGTAGAGGAACTGGTTATTTATATCTCAAAATAGAAGACTTTGTCAATGATTATATCAATATAGAGTTAATTCTCAAATTCAATAGAAACCTAGTGTTGCTGTTCTCAATCCCTTGCAGAATCTATTGAATATTGAGGTATTAAAACTAGATTTAATATATCTCACTGTGCAGGGATCAAAGGCTCAGTCAGACCTTGGGGTATACTGATTTTATAGTTGTTGATGTGCTGTTGACTCGTTGTCCACTGGTTATGTATTGAATACTGTTGCCGAGGTATCTTTTTGTATCGTTCTGCTGGGGATGGGCCAGATTGAGAGGGGTAGTACAGGGGTGAGACTTGGTGTTGAAGTCTAGATACACTGGCGGCGGACCGTGGAGGTTGCACTTCAGAAGAGTCCGTTGATTATGTGCTTGATATTATCGCCGAGGTATCTTTTTGTATTTTTCTGCCGGGGATGGGCCAGATTGGGAAGGGCGGTACGAGGGTGAGACTTGGCGTTGGTGTTTTGGAACATCAAAGATGGACAGGGTTTTCGCGGAGGTCGCTCCTCGGATATCTCCACAACTACAGGTCGGGGGTCTTCCAAAATCGAGAAGATTGGTGCATATGGCTAGGTCACTTCACCTTACAATTTGTATGGCACTCTGGCCCGGGGTTGTGGTGTGGTAGGGGAGAACGGGGGATAATCCCACACAGGAGCTTCGAACAACGTCCGGTTCACGTTTGGCTGGATAACTCCACCACCACACGGGGTATGCGGTCGGCGATGGGGTCAAAATGCTCGTATGATCGAGGGCTTTTCGATGGATCTATCGGCGGGTTCTTATTCGAAAAATCGAGCGAGTTCGTGGTGGAGCGGTTTTGAAAGCATAGATGTGTTGAGTTGCTTGAGACAGTATTAACTCTATATAAACACTGAAAAATGCTTGTTCTACATGCAGAAGATTGATTTCTTAGATTATATTATTGAGATGAATGACATTTCAATGAACAGGAGTCAGATCTCTGTCATTGAGAACTGGCCAGTGCCGCAGATGTACTGTGAGATGCAGGTGTTTCTAGAATTTGCAAATTTCTACAGATAATTCATCTATACATATTCACAGATTACTGCTCCTCTTACAGATCTGTTGAAGAAAAGTGTGAAAGACAGAAAAATGAGACTGTTTATTCTCACCCAAGACACTGTGCAGGTATTTGCAGAATTGAAACAAGCTTTCACAGATGTCATAATACTGAATCACTTTAACCCTGACTTACTCAGTCAGTGTGAGACTGATGTATCTGAGAATGAGATCTGTGAAATCTTTTCACAGTTGACATCAAAGACCTTTCAATGTTGAAAGAATCAGAGAATAATCATCTCTGAGAAAACAGACAATGAATTGTCTGTGAGAGAAGACTTTTTCACAGAGTCTACAAGACACTGCAAATGAAGATCAGTGACCTTCTTCTTCAAGAAGTTATCACTCACACAGAGAAGATATGATACTTATAATCAGAAGATGTTAGCAATTATTGAATTCTTTAAGATCTGGTGACATTATCTTCAGAGTAGTAAGTACTCAGTGTAAGTTCTCACTGATCATGTAAATCTGTGTTATTTCTTGACAACAAAGAGCTTGACAGAACATCAAGCCAGGTGAGTGAAGCTGCTTTCAGAGTATAATTTCTATATCTGATACTGTTCAGATTGGCTTAATTCTGCTGATACACTGTCTAGATAGCCTGATTATAATATTGTTGATATGAAGAAGAATTCTATAAAAGAATCTCTATCATCACTGCAGAAGAAGCTGGCTGCAGAGGGTTGAAGTTCTCTAAAGCTTGAGAACAGTGCTGAAGAGGCAGCTGTATAACTCAGTATAGAAGATGAAAGAGAACCCGGGTTCTCACAGAGAACTGACACTGAAGATTATGAGCTTCTCATATCATATCTTGTAATCATTGAATTGACAAAGAATGAAATGATCTACAATCTTTCAATCTGACTACTTTTGAAATTCATTGAAGAGTTATAGAAGGAGGATGCCTCTACTGCAGCTTGAATTCAAAAGTTAAAGAAGAAAGAATTCAGTTTAAACTTGAAAGAGACAGACTCTGAGCAGAGTAATACTGCTAAGAAATCAAGTTACTGATAACTAGAAGAATATGAACTTCTACTGCTGAATGATTCAGTCTTTGTCTCTTGTAGCAGAGCAGTGCATCAGAAGTTATTGAGAATTCATCATAATGATTCTTATACAGAGCACTTTGAGTTAGAGAAGACTGAGAAGCTTCTAAAATGTAAATACACTTGAAACAAGCTCTGAACAGATGTCAAAGAGTATATTGAAACTTGTAATATCTGTCAAAGAATAAAGATTCTGTAGTATAAGTAATACAGTGAGTTGATATCACTGCCTGTTTCAAAAAGCTCATAATAGAATCTATTAATGAATTTCATAGTTGACCTGCTGAAGTCAACAAGAGTTAAAGAATATAACTCAATTTTGATCATTGTTGATCACTTCACAAAGATAATCAGATATATCTCTACTTATAAAAAGATTAAAGTCTCTGAATTGACTGACCTGTTTTTAGATATCATCATTTATAATCACAGTGCTTTGAAATTGTTAATAATAGATTAAGAATTCCTCTTCATCAGTAAATACTGATTAGCTTTTTGCTATTATCTTATGATAAGATGTCTTCTCAGTACTGTATTTCATCTGCAGATTAATAGTCAGACTGAATGTCAGAATCAGATACTAGAACAGTATCTTTGAGTGTTCTGTTTATATTATCAGAATGATTAGCTTAAACATCTTCTGACTGCTGAATTTGCATATAACAATGTAAAGAATACAATCTTAAAGATATCTTATATCTTCTTTCTATACTTGTTATGAATATAATTCTTTATTACTCAGTGATGTCGCGGACAACATTTCAAAGAGAGGAATAGACAGTCAGAATGTTGAACAGATACAGAGAATGAAGTATCTCTCAGTGTCAGAAGTAAAAGTGAGATTGAAACTTTTGAATAAAATTCATGAGAAGACAGTGAAAAGCATTCATCACACTCAGAAGCAGTAGATAAAATACTATAATTGAAAACATCTTCTGATAAAGTTCTTAATAGAGAATCAAGTACTACTTTCAGCAAAGAATATCAAGATAATGAGACTGTATAAGAAGCTCAGTGAGTAGTGACTAAAATCTTTCCTGATAACAAGAGTAATAAGTAAGCAGATATATAAGTTAAAATTACTCATAGAATTGAAATCAATTCATTCTATTTTTCACATTTTCTATTTAAAGCTCTATAAGTAACACTCTGAGATGAAGCTATCTCAGCTGAATAATATTGAGATTGAGAGTGATACTGAATATCTTATGAAGAAAATATTGAATAAGTGAATACATTACAGCAAGCTTCAATATCTTGTTAAATAAGAAGATTATTCATTGTCAGAGAATTTGTGAGAACTGCTTGAGTATTTGAAAAATGCTGAGAAAGAGATTGCAATCTATAAGATAACTAGTAGAGATCACCCTGTTACATGTCAGAGACATTGAGCAAGAAATACTGCTTAAGACTTCTCATTTTTCTCAAAGAGTTTTTTAGAGATAATCTCACAGTGATAAGTCAGTGTCTTATAGACTCTGTAGCACTCTTCTTCTATTTTCTCTTAAAGAGTTTTTAGAAGTTTAATAAGACTATACAAGTGTAACATTTCTGAAGCAGTTAAAAGAAAAGAAATATTTGAAATTAATAAAAAGATTAATATTATCAATCTGTAGACTGCTGCTATTCTAATGAGACTGCAGCCTGCTGAAAAAGTAAAAAGAGAGATCAGAGTCTACTTATTAATAACTACACTCTTATTAAACTCATTCTTCACTGTTGAAGTCTCTGACATTAGTATTTTTATCTGCTGAGAAGTTAGCACTGCAGCACTGCAGAGAAGCATGCTACAGAAGAGTATAAGAGATGCTGAAAGTATCAACTTATCAACTTACAAAGTATCTCAGTTATCTGCTTCAACTGAAGTGAGATTCTCTTTAATCAGTGATTAATCTTCACAGTACTTTCAATGATGATATTAACTGATTTCTTCTTAAGATCAGTCATTCTGAGATGTTTTTTCATCTCAGAGACTCACACTTTCATCTTCTTTTACAGATGAATAAGAGAGATCTTTTCAGTCTTGATAAAATCTATCAATACTTAAAGCTCTGAGATTCTTGCTCTGTACTGCTTGAGCATCTGAGCTTCTTGTCAGAGCTGACACAATGCCTTCTTATAAGGTAGATAATACTTACAGAGAGACAGAAGTTGTTGTTACAGATGCAATGAAAATAACAGAAGTAAGAGAAGAGACAGATATATAAAATTTCTCTCTTCTTCAGCTGCTTAATGCAGTGCAGACAAGTAGCAGTGCTGATCAGAGACTGCATCAGAGCCTCTTCACAGAGAGAAGACAAAGGAACTGCAGGACTCTGCAGACTCAACTCAGCAGTATCTCAAGCAGGGCTTGAGCATGCCGCAGGAGAGGAACTATGAATTGAGCTTCTTGAAGCCACTGTCTCTGAAACCAAGCTCTTCTCAGGTTCCTCTCTGAATAACTACATGGGGTCATATGCCACTGTATTGGCTGGAGGGGGGGGCGGTGTTGCAATGGCAGCAGAAGGGGCAGAGAATGAATCAGACATAGATGAACTGACCAGCAGAAGAGATGACATCTCACTGCAAGGTATGATGACTACCACCACAGCCACAAAAGAAGCAGGAGAAGAAGGAGGTGTGGCAATGAAAGCAGTGCTCCCGCGGCTCATTGATACTACTGTCTTCATCTTCAACCTGGCTTTCTTGGCGGCCATGGAGGCCGCCGCCGCACCATGAAGACATTTATTACCCACTAGAAAATGTCAGAATAAGCCCTCTACTGTTCTTCAAGAATGATACTCCCATACACTCACTATTGCAGATGAGAGAGAGGGAAGAAAAATGTATCATGAGAGAGAGAATCTTTTGAAAAAATCCTGTCACTACTGTTAGCTTTGTCTCTAAAACACATCACTTTTGCAGAGAATTTCATATATAGGATGAAATATGTTAAGAGATCTGCAAGTCACTTGTTAACTACATTTTTCCATATTTCAAATTGATATATAAGGAACTCACTTATCACACATTTGATTTGAATGAAGATGAGAAAAGAAAGACCTACACAGTCAGTAGAAAAACTCATCTTTGTGTCACACACAGCACACACACTGTCAATCAGTTGACAACTGTTGCTATACAACAAAGATAATTCCTAATTCAGTAATCTTGAGAGTATAGAGACTATGCTCTTAAAGAGAAGAGCATTATCACACTCTCAGCTGTGTCAAGGCCTCATTACAGTTTCACATGACTCATCACTTTCATGTGAATAATTTCATTCATCTCACATTCTATCTGAACTGGTTTTCAACCACTCTATGACATCATTTGAATATATCATAGAAAGATCTGATTGATAAATATAAGAATCTCACTTCTATATAAGATCAGCAGATTACTCTTTCTTGATAATGAGACACTGCTGAGGTATCACTCTGGCTATTCTTACTCATGAAATGAGAGAAGAGTATCTGCTTATTGTCTATATAAAATAGCTAGATACTGACTCCTCATCAAAGAAGTCAGTGATTTGTTTTCCTTCTACTGAAATATATATGAGAGTTACTGTGTATCTCATACAATCTTCTTAGTATACTAAGTATCATATCTGTGATATTCTTGCAATAACCTTGTAGCCTACGAGCTCACTATTTAAGCAAGATAGTCAAGCTCACTCATACAGCTTCTCAAACAACTACTTCTACATGACACCGTCAACTAGTCATCACTTCGGTTCCGCCACGTTACAGAATAACTGAGAATCAGAGCTTTCAGTAGAATCTATGAAGTGTAAAGAAATAGTCTATATAATAATTAAGTATAGTCTGTCATATTAGTCTCTCTATTCTCTGATTATATATAGTTCTTATCAGTCAAGAGCTGCAGTCTCAGATAATACAGAACTCAGAGTTCAGATCAGATGATTATAACTGACTTATTTTACAAGATATTATCAGTTACAGTTACAGAGTCTCTTATCAAGAATATCTTTAATCTCTTATTCAAGTTCATTATCTTCTTCTATGATCTCTAATAACTATTAGTTGAAAATCAGTTGAGAAGAGAACAGATCAGTGATAGTATAGCAGAGTAAGCTTATGTAAAAGATATTATAAATTTCTGATAATGTATTAAGATAGTAGTTATGACTATCTAGAACTTCTATCACTTTATACTTGATATTAAACTGACCGTGTGACCGTGTCTGAGATCAGAACCAGAATTTTTGATAGTCTCATTGTCAATTTGACAGATCTCATTACATGGTTCTAATATTAGATAGTAGTCTCATACTGTCTCAGTGAGACTTACTGTCTACTCTTATTACATTTTTCAAATGAGACCATGATTTCTACTTCTCAATTTAAATTATTTTTATTGCTTTAAATGACTTTAAATCTCATTTAAGTGTTATCAAAAAGCATTACTTTTTAAAAAATTAAAAATAGTCTAAAAAAAACCTTAAAATGTCTAAAAATAGTAACTTTATGCTAAGAATGAAACTAAATGAGATCAAATAGAATCACTTTCTCATTTTTTTCAAGTCATGATTTCATTTTAAGATCTGATATATAGTCACTTTACATGTTTATTTAATGATTAGTCTCAGTGAGATTCATGTCAAGAAATGTATGAGATCAGATCAAATGAAACCAAACATGAAATTCATGATCCTGGCGGCCAGTCTACTTGATATAACAGTAATTCAGTGTATAAGATAAATATGTAATTTATAAACTGATTATGTGACCGTGTCTGAGATCAGAATCAAACTTTATAGTTATTATATTATCTAAAAGTATTACTTCTGATTATAATTTGTATTTATCACATTAATTTCGAATCATGTTATTTCAAATATTAAAGATCTCAGATTCACTTTTCAAATAAAAATCTAGTCTTAGATAAAGAATATATTTAAATTCTTAGTTACATTTTCATTCTGATCTCATTATTGAGAATGATATTAAATAAGATTATAAAATCACTTCTCACTTACAGAATATCATAACATAGTACTTATTTATTGAAAATTTAATAGAGAGTATTATCAAATATTATTACTTTTCTAAACACAGATTATAATTTATATAATTTTAATTATGAAAAAATATAAAATATAAAAAAAAAACAAAAAATAAAAAACAAAATAAAAACAAGAAAAAATCATAATAAAAAAAAAAGAGAAAGAAAAAAAAAGAAAAGAAAAGAAAAAGAAAAAAAGAAAAAAGAAAAAAAAAATCAAGATTACAGAGCTGTAGTATTTTTAAAATACTTACTTTTCAGAGTCTTTATAATATTTATTATCAACTATATATCTTTTATAGTGAGAGTAACACAGCTGTAATAAGCTATTATCTTAATATTATCTAATAAATAATCAGTATATATCTGTATAAATGTAAATATTTAGAAAATATACACTTAAAAAGTATAATCAGAGTGAACTCTGCTGTCACTTAAATAATATTAAGAACAGAATACTGAAATCAATGATTTCTCTCATCAATTTCACAGACAAGATATATAAAGATGATTTTAAAGAATATAAGATTCTCTGACTTCTGATAAAAACAGATCTTATGAAGAGACTCTATTTTCATAATATCAGAGACTGAGTGTTATTAAAAAGTGTTACTTCTATATAATATACATGCACTTACTGTAACAATTCACTCTCTGTATATATAACTGAGAGTTACAGCTTTCTCACACTGCACAGCTCTTTCTGAAATGCTGCTATCAGTTTGCAACTTATACAGTCTCTCAGTTCAGCATATACTACATATATACAGCTCTGTGTACTGAGACTAGACTGGCCGCTGAGATCATGAATTTCATATTTGATCTCATTTAATCTAATTTCATACATTTCTTGATGTGAATCCCGCTAAGACTAGTTATTAAAAAAACATGCAAAGTGACTATATATCAGATCTTAAAATGAAACCATGACTTGAAAAAAATAAGAAAGTGATTTCATTTGATTTTATTTAGTCTCATTCTTAGTATAAAGTTACTATTTTTAGATATTTTAAGATTTCTTTTAGACTATTTTTAATTTTTTAAAAAGTAACACTTTTTGATAACACTCAAATGAGATTTAAAGTCATTTAAAGCATTAAAAATAATTTAAATTGAGAAGTGAAAATCATGGTTTCATTTGAAAAATATGACAAGAGTAGACAGTAATTTTTCACTGAAACAGTATGAAACTACTATCTAATGTTAAAACCTTGTAATGAGATCAGTCAAATTGATAATAAGACTATCAAAAAATCTGATTCTGGTCTCAGACACGGTCACACGGTCAGTCTAGCTGAGACTGTGTTAATTATTATAATCTGATATGATACTCACTTTTCGCGGGCTATATCTTATTTGAAAGAGGAGGAGAAAGATGTAACTGTTATTTTATTAAGAGAGAATGAATATGTGATTCAGAAGAATGTATAACTACTGAATAATAACACGGCCGCTTCTGAACTTGCTTACGAATGTAAAGAGGCCATAGCAGCCATCAATTAATTTAGTGTACAGTATATAAGAAGCCGGTGTACATCTGTAATTATACACTGACTCAAGCAATCTTTAAATCACATCTGATAGCATATCTAAAAATCAGTGAGAAGTGCAGACTTCTTCAGAATGTAATAATTTCATCTATGAAGTAATTCATAGTTATCATGTCAGTGTGATTCTAAAAATATCTTAAAAGATAGTATATAAAGAGCAGTGAGTGAAAGAGTATCTGATTGATACTGCTTTACTTGTTAAGAGAAAACTTCACACTCAGATGAATGCCATGTATCATATGTAAACAGATAAGGTGTGAGAAAAGAGATGAGAGTAGTGAACTAGATTCAAAGAAGATCACTCTCTACTCAGAAGAATAAAAGAGAGATGACTATCACTGAAGTTATACAATAATAACAGAAATCATATAATGATAGATATTATACAATTAACAAGAAATCACTGAAATGAATATCTTCTCTAGTTAATATGAATAACACTCTTCTCTGCTACCTAAACTGAAAGATATGCAGAATCTCTCAGAGAATTTACTAAAAGCAGTATGAAAAGCAGCTGAGATCACTGAACTGAAATCAAAGCTCTGTATATATACAAGAATTCTAAATGAAATTGAGATCTTGTATACATAGTGACAGACTGAGACAGAAGTCAAATAACAATTGATATTCACTGTAGATTAAGTATTCATAATGAAGAGCTTTATCAATGCAATTATCAGTATTAATAAGAATAGAGAAAACTAGACTGGCCGCCGGGATCATGAATTTCACATTTGATCTCATTTAATCTGATCTCATACATTTCTTAGCGTGAGTCCCACCAGGACCAAGTCTCAAAAAAATCTGAAAATGAACCATTTCTGAGAGAAATGATGTGAAAAATGACTAGATTTAATTCAAGAACAGTGAAATGAGAGTAATTTTTCAGAATAAACTGTGAAAGATGATCATTCATTCAAAATTAGAATGAGACTGAAACTGAAGATTAAAATCAGTCTCATTCAATTCATTCAGTGATTGCTTATATAATCAGAATTTGATAATGATTATTAATAACACTCATGAAACAACTAAATACATTCTTATACAAGTTTATTCTTTACTTTCTCATGAAAACTACACTTCTCTGATATACTGTGATCAGAGATATTAAACTGTCTGATAATTTCATGTTTTACAATCATGAGTTTCTTGATTATTTCTTCTTATAATTGTTCTCAGTGATAGTGATAAATATCTTGACTTGAGTTGAACTTTCACTTCATTCTTATCTCTGTCAATAAAATTGTCAGAATATCATATATCATCAGTGCAATAGTTGAATATATACTCTTAATAATTTTTCATAACTCTAGAATTGATTTAGTGTGTAAATTCATCAGATCATCTTGAAGATAGCAGTTAAATTCAGTTTTATAAGTATGTAGTTTTGCCTGATTTTCAGTTGTAATCAATGTATGTAAGTTCTGTTTCAAAGTTAGTATTATAGTTCTATATAATATAAAGCATTATCAAAGATTGTTACTTATTAGAGAATTGTATTTCACTGTCTTCATATCTCAAACATCTGCTCATTCAAATCTCTGATAGTTGACATTGTAGTAGTCTCAGATTAATTTAATATATGAGTCTCATTTCTTCTCTGTTCAATCTTGAGAAGTGTAGATATTAACTTAATAAGAGAAATCTAGTAGAGCTGCTACAGCATAGTACTCTGTAAAAGATTGTTTCATTTTACTGTAGTAATATGTCAGTTTATTTCTTACAGTAACAATAGCCTGCACTATAGTATCATCTCAGACTGAATTTCTTTTTAAGTAATTCAACTGCTTCTCTGTAAGAATAAGTGCTCGCAGGCGATTATTCGGGTGTTTGCAGCTTGGCGTGATATGTACTGTTAACTACTAGAAGTATTCATGATAGAAAGATAAAATGTAGAGATTAAATGTATAATAGTATTTAAGCTGAGTTATAAATAGTATTCACAAACTCCAGTCTATATAGTTGTGTGTAGTCAAGGGCTGCTAGCTCTATTGATTATATGAGAGATAGAAATAGAGATAAAGAATTTATGAGAAGTGAGATTTCTTACATACCTCTCTCTCTCTAAGGCTTCATCTGCAAAGTCTTTCACTGAGTGACTTTATAGAATCAGCTCAGTACTGCAGTGATACTCATTAAAAATCCTTTATATCTATAAAAAACCTCAGTGAGGAAAAATCCCTTATTACTGTGAAGAAAAAAGAGTCTATTACTCAGTTTCTTATTTCACAAGATTCTTTATAATTTACAGATTCTTCTCTGACTATTATACAGATTCATCTTACATCTTTCATACAGAAGAGTTTCAGTTAACTCTCAATCATTTTTATAAAGTTCTTCTGTGATTATTACACAGATTCATCTCACAGATGAATCACTCTCTGTGAGATCATTCTTATTAAAGAGAAATATTCATAAGTTAATCTTTCACTCATTCTTATGAATCATTGTTCTTTAACACTGTAGAATTGTGAGGAATTTTCCATTTCTTTCACTAACTCTGTAGAATTGTAGAATCAAGATGTCTGCAGTCTGCAATCACTCTTTATAGTTATATAGAAAGATTCAGACCTGTAATTCATAATTACTCTTATTTACTAGAGTGATCTGACTGTTCTGTGAAATCACTCACAGTGTAAGCAAATCTCTCTAAAGTAGTATAAATATCTCAGATCTATCTACAGAATCTTATCTTCTTTTCTCTTTTTCTGTAACAGTTTTCATTCTTATAAATTATAAGTATTCTCATTTATCTGTGAAGTGTTTTCACTCAGATGATAGAGAGAGAGTGTTTCTGACAATGTCTGCATATTAATTCAAGAACTTCTTAAGAATAAAAATTTTTCAATTTCAATATTTTTACAATAATATCTGATTACTGCTGAGCTTCTCATGAGTGTTTCTATGACTTCTCTGATCACTTTTTACCAGCTGATGAAGCAGGAGCACCGCCGCCCATGATCATGCCTTCATTTCTCTCAGCCCTGTCACTGTATTCAATCTTCAGGCCAGCAGTCAACTCCCTGCATCTTCCAGGCCAGTCCCTGGCTTCAAGCAGTGCAGTTCTCTTCTTTGCTGTAAGTCTTCTCATAAGTAATTTCTTACAGATTCTAGCTAACAGTTTTTGCAAAACTCTCTGTATTGTCAGTGTCTTCTGCAGCCTCACAGGTCTATAATCATCTCTTTTCTACTCACACAATCTCTGATCAGACATATGTGAATATGTCTAGATTCTCTATCAATGGTCCTCACACTGCAGCGCATTTTCACAATCTCATTGTCAATGAGAGATGAGTTTCTGAGTATCTGCAAAATCTGAGTAATTAAGATAATGTGAATGTTATGAATTTGTGATGAGAGTTAGTCTGAACAGATGAGTTCTCTCTTCATATCTCAATTATTTTCAGACTGAATACTTCAGCATAACTGAGAAAGTGAATACAGCTTTATAAGAGATATCTGATCATACACACAGATAGTCAGTTCTCAAGACTCTGTTACAACTATATATACTCTGATGTTCAGCTTCTCTGAAGTCTGTACATTTCTGACAGTCTTCACATCAAATGTAATAATTATCTGTATCACAGACATAATACTCTCTGCTTCTTTGAAGAGAGAAATTGATAGTTGTGAGAAAATTGAATATTATGAATATTGAGAATATGAGTTTGAGTTTTCTTTATTTTTTCTTTATTAATCTTCAAATTGTGTTCACAGCTCTGTTTATTTTCTTGTTTTTTAACTTTAATAAGAATATGATTTCTTCTTTTCTTGTATACACTGCAGACTGTTCATCTCAGTAGAAACTTATTATCTTATAGACTAGAATTTGCAAATAACAGTGTTAATATCTTTATTATAATCAGGTTCTTAGCAAAGACTGTGTCATTCTGACTTATCAGAATTCATAGTATGAAAATCATGTCTCAGCTTCTACAGATGTCTTATCTATCTGAATAATTCTCAAGTGAACTCATTTATCTTATCAGAATACTTTTATCATTGAATCTTGAATCAGAGCTCATAATCTCACTTCTCTGAGTTAATAATTTCTTTAATCTGATATTCTCTTTCACTCTCTAGTGCTTTATAAATAGAATGATGAGTCACAGAATTCTCTTCTAAGAATTTCTTATATTTGCAGAGTAAAGAGATATGAAAAATATTATATATTTATAACTCAGATGATAGTTTTAATCTGTAGAACTGTGAGCTAACTTTCTTCATAATCTTACAAGACTCTGTCTGTAAGAGATTCAGCTTCTTACTAGATCTCTATATAATAATGTTTTCTAGACTCAGTCAGACTCTATCATCTTTCTTAAAACTCTTTATAATATACTTGAAGTTATAGTATCTCTTCTGATACTCTTGAGTCTTTCTCAAGAATTCACAGACTTTCTCTCAGATATTCTGAATTCTCTCAGTCTGTTCACAGACATCATCATACTCTATAGTATACTCTCATAAGTTTATTAAGATTATCTGTGAATGAGTCTCAGTGAGCATCTCAAAGAGAGTTTTGTCTGTGCTGACATGCTTTAAGTTGTTGTATATGAACTCTGTGAGTGATAATCAATACACTCAGTTATTCTGATTGTAATTGACAAAGCACTGCAGATACTGTTTCAATATACTTATCAGATGTTCTGTCTGATTATCTGTCTGTTGATGAAAAGTCATGCTTAGATCTCATGAGATCTTCAGTATAGTTATCAGATTAGATCAGAACTCTTCTATGAAGATTGATTCTCTGTCTGAGATAATATTCACAGATAATTCATGCAACTGAATCATATCACAGATGAAGATATGAGTCAAATTCTTTGACTTCAAGTTCTTACAGGTGAATATAAAGTGTGTTATCTTGATAAAGTAATTCACTATCATCAGCACACTGTCAAAACAGGTATTATATATGTCCTTGCTTTCTAAGAGGCTCACAAGAGTATTCATTTCTAGCTGTTCTCAAGGTTTCTGTGAGATGAATAGAGAAATAAGTTCTTTATATAATCTGAACTGCACTACTCATGAATTCTGATAAATAGTATAAGAATTCACTATCTTCTTCATAAGTCCTTGCATCTTCAGCTAGAAGTATTTTCTTATAAGCAACTTATGAGTTCTAGTGTCTATAAAATAATCTGCTAGAGAAGAGTCATGATGCCTTTTAATAAGTTCTATGTATAGAAACTTATTCATGAGTATATAAATTCAGCTCTCTCTTTATAAGAGATTATTTAAGTTTCTTCAATTCTTTGTTTCTGCAGAGTTAATCTCTGTTATGAGCAGTTTTCAAATATGCTGAGTATATTCATTCTTCAGTTGCAGTTCAGATAATCTGAATAGAAGATCTTGTGAAGACTTATACTCTGTTTCTTCTTACATCAGATCTTTCATAGCACTTCTCAAAGCCTGCAAATTCTTCAGGTTATAGATACTCTCTTCAAGAATTCTCACAGAGATTCTCAGAGTGTTGACTCTCAGTGTTACAGAGAGTAGTTATACAGACTTCTTCTCTCTCTCTTTCTTCTTCTCTTACAGAGAATTGAGAGACTCTTCAGTTAATCTCTTCATAACACTCAGTTTAAGCATTCTGTGAAGCTTTTCTGTCTTCTCTAGTCTCTCTGTATCTGTTACTCTGACCTTCTTAACATAGTCTGATCTGTGAGAGAGTCTGTTCACTGAGTTCTTAGTTCTCTTGATATGTTCTATCTTGAATCAGAACTCACTCAGTCTCTGAGTTCAGCAAATCTGTCACTGTGAGAGTTCCTTGATTGAAGCAAACTGTTGTAAGCTGTTATGATCAGTTCTAACAGTAATCACTGTTATGAGGCTCTCAAAGTAGTGATGTTAATAATAGAAGAATTTCACTATTATAAGAAGCTTCTAATCATGAATGTTATAGTTGATCTTCACAGGTTGCATCTTCTGTGAGAAAAAGACTACTGAAACTCAGTTCTCATTTAACTGTAGTTATAAGACTATTTCTGAAATTGTAAAGAAGAAGACATCTGTCTTCAATCTGATTAAGAGTAAGAAATTAAAGTGAAACAGTATCACTGTATTTATAAATATCTATTTCAATCTTACAAAGACTCTGTGAGCTTCTGAGATAAGAAAGTTCTTACAGTTCTTTCTTCTCAATAATCTTTTCATTCTCTGTTTATAAGATAACTTCTTCTTATTTTCATTCTTCAGTATGTCTGTAAGAGCTAAGAAGATTCTTATGAATGCAAAGATAAACTGTCTATAGAAATTTACAAAGCTCAGAAAGATCTGAATCTCATGAATACTAGTTAACTTCAGTCATGATAGAATAGTCTCAATCTGTGAAGATTTCATCTAAATATCATCTGTGATGATTATATATTCTAGAAAATTAATTCAGTGAGCACTGAAGTTGCACTTCATGAGCTTAATATACAGTTCTGTCTCATCTAAGATCTTCAACATGCTTCACACATGCTCAGTGTGTTCTTTCTTCTTCATGAAGTATATCATCACATCATTCAGATATATTATCATGAAGACATTCAGATATATATGAAGTATTTTATTAATGAAAGACTGAAATGCTATGAGAGTGTTAGTCAGATCAAAAGACATCACTAGATATTCAAACAATCTCAGTGCAGTTTTAAAGACAGTCTTTCATTCATTCTCAGATTATATTCACAGCTGTGTATATATATTAATCATATTCAGTTGTGTGAATATGACAGCTTCTGTAAGACAGTTGATCACATTCTTGATCAGAGACAGAGAGTAGTAGCTCTTTATTATCTTGAAGTTCAGATTGTAATAGTCTATACATAATCTAAGATCTTCATTCTTCTTCTTTGCAAACATCACAGAGACTTTCACAGAGATCTGTGAAGATCAGATAAAGCTATTCTTCAGATTCTTCTTCATATAGATCTGCAAGGCCTCTGTCTTATGATGAGAGAGTTTATAGATTGATTCTCAGAAGAGTTTCTGCTCTTCTATCAAATCTATTATCAGATTCTTCTCACAGTGAGAAGAAAGCTCAGCTGTCTTTACTGAGCTGAATATCTCTGTAAGATCTCAGTATTTCTCTGATATCTAAAGCTCAGTTTCCATGACTGCAAGATTCTCAGACACTTATAAAGTCATTATATAGATGAGCTTATCTTCTCTGATCAACTCTGCAGCATCAACTGATTCTATCTCTGTGAGTGAGTCTGTTAACACTGATTAGAAGTATAAATCTGACTCACAGACAGCTATGTACAGATTGTGTTTTTGAAGTTATGCAAGTCTCAAGTACATGTCATCTGTGATGTTCATGATAATCACAGTTTTCACAAATCTTCTTCAGATTTCAGAGAGATCTTGTAATTCAAAGATAACTCTTATAAGTCTCTCAGCTCTCAGATCTGAGTTCTTGCACTCTGCTTATTATAAGAGCAGGTTCTCAGTTTTCATCTTTCAGCTTATTCACTTCATGAGCTTTAGAGACATCACAGTGATCTGAGATTCTGAGTTCATCAATACTTCTCATGCTTGTGAGACAGCAGCATCACAGTGTGATCTCTTCTCATAAGCAAGCATTTTCATTGAGAGAGCAACAGATTCAGGTGTCAGCTTCAAGGCTCTTAAGAAGGCTGTTGCTGACTCTGTTCATAACTCTTCAAATTTCTATTTTAATTTGTCTGAATAGTTTATGCAGAGATGTTCTGATTTAGAATAGATGAAGCAGAGTCTCTTTTTCTTAGTCTCTCTGTTATGTACTCTGTTCATAAGAGCTTGTGAAGCTCTCTCTTTCTACTCAGTAGTCAGACATGAATCTCTCTATATCTTATCATCTTTTTCTGACAAATCTGTTCTCTGTTATTCTGACTCTTACAGAGCTGGTTAATGATTCACTCTCTGCAGGTCTGTGACTCTCACAGTGATCTGCAAGTGATGAATGAGAGTCATTAGTTTCTTCAGAGTTAAGAACTTAGAGTCTTGCTCAATGAGCTTGTTCTGCATGTCTTTATTCAGTCTCTTTATAAACATCATTATTCAGGTCTTGTTTCAGAGCTCTGTTTTCACAGATCTCAATTCATATCACAATTTCATGAAGCACTGTGAGTAGTCTTCATCAGATTTCTTATCTCTTTTTCTAATGTTAGTGATCACAGCTCAGATGTTCTCTGTCTAGCTTGCAGAGTTCTTTAACTTATTCTCTAGATAGGTCTTGAG